AAATTGGTGGATAAACAAGCACAATAACCTCAGCTTAATTGAACTGATGTTGGATGAAGATGGGAAATCTCCCATCCTCTTCCCTACCTCTGCGCCAGCCATCATAAGCCTTTAAAAAGGTCATAAACATAGAGTCTAATGATTATGGGCCTTCTAACTTGAAAAGCTTTTGTATATTCTCTTTCAATTTCCTATATTTATCTGCAGAAGTCAGCTATAATACATTGAAGAAGCTTGTTAAAGAAACTAGTTACAATGACATCATTTATGGAACACCTTGGTTATCTGTTGTTGTTTAGGAAGAAAGATGATATTTCTAGTAGATCTAGATAAATGTACTTTCTTTATGCATGTATTTTATATAACTTAGTAAGTAAAATGAGCAAATTGTTCTTTAAGGTAACCTCAATCTATGCAATTGTTGTTCAGTGATGGCGACGATTTAAACATCAATTTTAGTGGATGACAAATAGCATAAACTTTAGAGATTAGCCTGTTAAGAATTCTTCTGGACAATGTGTAGACAAATCATAGTTGATCAATAATAAACTGCTTGGCTCCCCTCACTCTTTCGTTTTCTTTGAGGAAAATCTGTGTTGGAGTTCTAATTTGAGAATTGAAAGATTCACAGATTCTTGACTCAGTTGGGTACTCATCTAAAGCATTGCCTGAAGCATTTGTGTAATGACTTAGGCTATACTGTTTCTTTTGAATATGGGGGTTGATCCATAGTTTCTCTCTCTCTGTCTAACAAAATTCTAATCATCCTCAAGGCCCATGTAGAAAAGGAGAAAAATAGGAAAAGGAAAATACGTAAAAGTAGATCACCTGCTCTACCATTTGGTGAATTGCTTCCATGAAGGGACATTTTCTGAACTCAATAACTTGCAGAATGTAATATTTATGTTACCAACACATTTTGAAACTAACCAGGAGCAAGTTGAAGTATTCTTTGAATTTATGTGCCATGGTTTCCATATATTGGCTTTGTTTGATCCAATTTTTATAGATTTACTCTAGGTTTAGAACTTCTCCTTAGGGATGTGGTGTGTATGTCTTCAGGTCATAGGTTTGAATAAAGTTCCAACTGCTGGTGATGAATTTGAGGTTGTTGCTTCCCTTGATGTTGCACGTGAAAAGGCAGAAGCTTGTACAGAGTTGTTGCGAAATGAACGCATGTCAGCCAAGGCTGGGGATGGAAAGGTCACACTTTCTTCTTAAGCTTCGGCAGTGTCAGCTGGAAAGCTTTCCGGGTTAGACTTGACAAGCTCAATGTTATCTTGAAGGTTGATTTACAGGTATGCACATCAGATTTACACAAAGAAAAACAACATGCAAGACTATCTTGTTCATAACATTGTTAATTTGAGTATAATGAAATTTGATAATGCATTTGGATGACTTGGCCTTTCTATTGAGTACATGCTGCTGCTGCTGCTGCTGCTAACAAGTTGTTGGTCAGATCTCATCCTTTTATTAGGGGGAGAGGGGGAAGAGAATTATAAAAAATGCTGTTGTTATATGTAAATGCTGTTGGTATATGTAATAGTTATATCAAATTTCTATGTGCGGAAACAAATATGCATCATAAGCCATCTGTGTGAATTGCACAAAATTTTTGTGCCACTGTTGACCAATATAATAAAAGGTTAATGAGACACATTGGCTGCATGTGAATTGCATGAGACTGATATGGGGCCAAAAGAGAGGCTGTTTCCCTGTGATGGTACTTAAAAGCTGAGGATAACAAGCATAGGAGAATAGGTGACAGGAGGATTGAATTATGTGGGCCAAACATTAGAATTCAGTTAATTAACTTGTCTTCTTTTATCATTTTATGTACCAAAATTATAAATTACAAAAAAAAAAAAATTGTCTTTGGCTGTTCAAACTCTATCATCCTACGAGAAAGTACCCAATATTCATCTTGGTATTGCATTTCTTACATATTAGTCTACTTCTTGGTGCTCATGCTGGTGCTGCTGATTCCGTGAAAGAAATGAACATCCTCAAACATTCTTGTTGACATTTTCTATCTATTTCCAATGAGCATCATAATTGCTAAATTGTATTTGTTTTCCACTACTAGGGATCTATAAAGGCTGTCAGACTAGCATTGCAGCTGTTACCACAAGACAATGTCACTTTGAAGTTTCTCTTGGAAGCAACAGGAGATGTAAGCACCAGTGACGTCGGTCTTGCGGTTGCTAGCAAAGCCATTATTTTTGGATTTAATGTGAAGCTACCAGGTTCTGTCAAGAGTTATGCAGAAAATAAAGGTGTTGAGATTCGGCTTTACAGAGTTATCTATGAACTTATTGATGAAGTGAGGAATGCAATGCACGGAATCCTAGAGCCTGTTGAGGTTAGTCTAATGTTTAAGTATTTGCATTTTGATATCGTGGTGTAGATGATGTGTGGGTGGACTGAGTACATCAAGCTGCTTGGCATTCCATTTGGTCCACAAGTCAAAATATACATGGATTTAGGGGAATAGGAATAATGAAGAGGAGATGGGGGAGGGAAGGGACCTGGCCCTTGCTTGGGAGAGTAGAAAACGAAAAGAGAGGGTATGGAGGGAAACCCTTTATCCCTTTCATAAGATAGACCCCTCTTGAAATCCATTTATTCTTATTTTCATTGAAGAAGCCCCTAATTCTAATTGCTCGAATCTGCTACAAGCATACTTTTGCAATACTTTTAGTTCTATCATGGCTACGTCTCTTCAAATCCATGGTAGTCATATTTTTCCTCAACTACCTTGACTGTTGTCTTCTACCTCTAAGTTGTTGAATGTCTGTAGAAGTAAGCTGAGGCATTGATCCTTCTTTTTCTCTCAGCTTCATTTTTTGATTTTTTTTTTTTGTTTCTTTTACACTGTTCTTGTAGTCTCTAGTACACTGCTTTAAACATTGAATGTAGTTTGATTTGTTGTAACCTTGGAACTCATTGGCTTTAAATTCTTGGGTCATGTATTTGCTTTTCCTTCAGTATGTTTAAGATTTCCGGGTTAAACATTCAGAGTGGACAGTTACTGCTTCTCTGTTTATAGGATCAAGTACCAATTGGCTCTGCAGACGTTCGGGCTCTTTTCAGCAGTGGCAGTGGTCATGTTGCCGGATGTATGGTAACAGAAGGAAAGGTAGTGAATGGTTGTGGCATTCGTGTCATTCGAAATGGTCGCACAGTACATGTCGGTGTCCTTGATTCATTGAGAAGGGTAAAGGAAATTGTTAAAGAGGTATAATGTTGATTGCCAATACTGCTTCTTTCTCTTTTTGCATTCCCATCCCCAACCCTCCTCTTTAGTCTGACATTTTGGTGCATGTTCTTCCTGTATTTTGTTCCTTATTGTCTCGCTTATGTGTATCTGCTGATGTATTGGGACTTTAGATAAGTATTTGTGTAAATTATTTAATAATTGTGCTTGGGAGGATTTAATGTTCTGCCTGGTTATGTGATATATAGATGAAAAGAACTAGTCAAAACAAAAGATCAAACTGCACATAAAGGGATCTGCAAGCAGAAGTTATTCTGGGTTGAATAATTAGATCCGAGATTGATTTATATTTGATTAGTAAGTTAAATTTAGCTGAGTAGTGGCATGAACAAAATATTGAATTCTATGGTTGCGCTTGTTTCCATCTTGGTCAATTCAAAATGTGGTAAACTTTATTTTTTAAAGATACTAACTTGTGTTGACAATATTCTGAGAAGATGGTGATTCTCATATGAAATTTTGAAGGATTAGAAGGATAGTACTTAGGTTGCAAATTATCTAAATGTTTGGTTGCATTTGTTATTGAAAGTGTTTTGCCTTCATAAGCACTTCTGTGTCTTTTTCTAGACCAAATAAAAGAGAATAAAAAGGGATTTCAGAAGTTTAAATTGAGTTATGTTTGGTTATGCTAGTTATTTCAGGTGCTCCTATCTTGGATGATGGATGATATGATTGACAAATTATGTCAGTGTATTTTGTTTACTTTATTTTCCATAATAATTGGAAATTATTATTGTTTAATCTTTTCAACTAAGTAGAGCCGATTTTTACATTGAATTAATTTGATGGTACTAATTTTGCAATTTCATGGGATGTTGAGGATAGTTTGTGATTATGATATATTTTAACAACAACAGATGCATCTGATTGTAGTTGGCAGAGCTTCTTTTGATTCATTTGCTTTTATTCCAATGAAATGTTTCCAAATCAATGAAATTGTAACAATATCATGATTTGCTTTTCCTTCCTTCTGCATCACATCCTGGTTTCCTTATGTCCCTCCATTTTCTAAACTTTGTCTTGTTGTCATAGTTCTTGAGTGTGGCAATTTGTATTGAAGAGGCGTAAATGATAGAAAGATATAGAGAGGATATTACACCTTGGAGCTTGATATGAATACAAGGCCTTCATAAATATTGGATTATGGTGCATCTTTTTTTGATAGAATTTCACTTTTCAATGATCATATGCATGACAGATTTTATGTCCTGATTTATCTAATGTATGATAAAGTGGCATTACCTCTTTGTTATGTTAATCCTTTTCTTTATGTTGAGATATGTTTATGGGAGGCTCTTGTGTCGAGGCATATTATTTAATGTTTTGAATAGTTGGATTCTGGTGTTATACTTGTAGATCATGTTGTGAGATGCTTTTTGAGACATAATAGGCCTACAACTTGATGCCATGTAATATGGCTGTACCTACATAATTTGTCATGTTTCGAGTGCTGGAATTGTAAATTTCTTTTTTCTTCTACAATGGATGGACAACATATATCTCTCTCCTGAACAGGTAAATGCTGGGTTGGAGTGCGGTATGGGAATGGATGACTACGATGAATGGCAGGGAGGAGATATTATTGAGGCCTTCAAGTCAGTTCAAAAGAAGCGGACGCTTGGAGAGCCATCTGCTTCAATGACAGCTGCACTGGAAGTAGGAATTGAGTTATAGAGGGTCAGAGGGCTCCAAAAGTGGCTTAATGGCTTTTAATTAAATTTTCATGACAGAGGCAAACCACCATGCAGTGGAGTTTCTGGGCTTCCAGATTTTGCCTTAGGTGTGTGTAACCTATTTTTGCTGTCTATATCAACATCTCTCCAGCTTTGCTTTTGTAAGGACTGGACTGGACTGGACAATTACATTCCACAAGATTCAATGTAGAAAACACCCTGTAACATTTACCCAAAAAGGGAACAGGAATATAGTTGAAAATTTTGGGATGGTGCTTTGACACTTGCTGCGAGAATCCCTTCGCACTCATGATTAATCATAAGGTTCATATTGAGCCAGTCAAAAATTATCAGGTCTACTTGAATGCGATTTGTGATAATTCGCCTGTGAATCAAACATGAACCGCATTTATTTTGTTTCATGACAAATTAGATAACTTCTAATTTTTGTGTTGTTGGTTCAAGGACGACATTATCCTCGGTTGAGTGAAAATTAAGTGCTCACATATATATATTGTAAGGTTACATCTGAAAATAGAAATGAATGAAACCAAAGGTAACAAGACACAGGGATGGGAAAATAAGAGATTAATTCCATTACAACTACAACAGTAGAATGCTTCGTGTATTGGGGTAAAATACACAACAGAGATCCATTTTGATTCCTGGTTTTGAAATGAGAAAGCCCCGGAAAAAGAAGCTCAAGAAAACCTATTTGTACCTGGAAAAGCCTCGATCTATTGCCCGAAAACACCAAGTCATACATTTAACTCCCCACTTTCTTTTCCTTGCTTTCATCCTGGAATTTGATGAGATCGTAAATATCACATACCAAAACCCCTCCTTTCTTCTTCCCTTTCTTTTGCATCCCCCTTCGTACACCTTCTCCTTTGTCAAAGAATGATAGTTTTTCTCTTTGGTTGGAAAGCAGAAATTCTTCAGAAATGCATTTCATCAAGTATTCAGGTTGAAGATCTTCGCGATTGCCTTTTGCTTTTCTTCTGAGGCAATTTAAAAGGACTCCAGCTCTTTCTGCGTTTAGAGGTTTCACAAAAAAGACCAGAGGCCAAGGCCTGCTGAAGCCACAACTCAAATTCTTCTTCATCTTCATCAATCATTTCAGCATCCAAATCCCAAGGAAATCTGCTTGAGTTGGATCTTTGTGTCTTCTCCAACCCAACCATATTCACATGGAAGCTAGGCCGATGGGTGTTCGGTCTACATGCCATTCCCTGCAAGAACCATTTCTGTAAAGTTACTGGTACAAAAATGTATCACCTTCACAAGGATAAATCAGCTTGTGTTAACTCTGAGAGGCTGCCAAATCATTTAAGTAATATTCATCGAATCATGGTTGCGATGGATACTGATTATCTAGCATTTAGAGTTACATGGAAACAAGCTCAACTTAATTATGTCATATTTCAATCCATAATGAACAAGTCAAAATACTAAACATAAAGATATTTCAAATAACAATATCTAAAACTTAAAAGTAATATATATATATATATATATATATTACAGAACCCATTACAATGTTGAATTAAATAGATAAAGGTTTGCAATCCAACAATCACGAAATTTTAGGAGGAAGATTTTTAGTGGATAAAGAACAGACCTTTTTTTTCAAAGTTATATTTCAAAAACCTATCTGGTCTTCAGAATTTCTTTTAGAGAGGAGGATAAGATTAAGAGCCAGATGAGTAATCAACCAAGCAGGGGAGCATTCTCTTTTAAAATGATTGGATTTGAATAATTTGACAGAAACTAGTAGAGGAGTATTCAATGAAGTTCGGTTTGGATTTTGACAACATTCTGTCTCTCTTTTTACACAACCCTAAAAACTGGTTTCAGTGATACCATAAGTCCAGCTTGAACATGTCTTATTTCAAGGTAGGTTAGTTTTATAACTTTTGGTTTAGAAAATAAGGTTCCCCTTGACTTGGAGATCAAGCCAATAGCAAAACTTTCCCTTGTATTTTCAAAACTATAAGGCTATCCCTTGACAGGGACAAATGGAAGATATTTGTTCAATGAGGTCAATCTGATCAGATTAATTAAAGAATACTACAATTTCATAAAAAGAAAAATAACTTTGACTCATAAAAAAATTTGACCAATTTAATCATAAAACATGATTCCAAACACCGTAATATTACCAGTAAGAGGATTTTCTTCTTCATATATAATTGACAAGTACATAGGGTAGGCTTATATGAGTTATTACAAAACTCTATGAAGTTTTACAACCTGTAATTTCAAAATATGTAACTGAAATCATAGAATTACAAAATAAAGTAATTATAAATTCTAGAAATTTAAAAATTGCAGGGTTTTTAGTTTGGATATTGTTCTTGAAAGAGGAAATTTGTCTGCAAATTTCACCTAAACAAAAATCAGAAACCACACCGGCCAGAAACCGTCTGCATATTAGAAAAAAAAAGGCAATCTTTAAAGAAAAGAAAACCCCTACTTCACATTTAAATAAAAAATTACTTTATTATTGCATGCAGTACTATTGTACATATCCATTACTCCTTTGGTACATTTCACATCCCTCCTAGAAGAGGTGCTTGGAGATGTAACAGCATTTCCTATGGGGATTAGGAGAATATAATATATATATATATATGAAGTGGCAGGGAAGATCAGATAATAAAAGGGAAAAAGAAAAACATTAGAAACCACCCTTATTAGTTCTTTGCCAGCAGCAAGGGGAAAACATCCAAGAAGACAGAGTGGGAAGAAAATGAAAAGAAGAGTAAGAAAGAGAAAAGTAGAATTTGAGAGAGAGAAGTGGGGGAATCCATGACCTAGTAAAAAGCCTAATGTGTTTCGCCATCACAAGAAGAGGAGGTAGATTGATTTAAGACAAATGACAAGGTTACTAAGTCTGAAGAAAAATTCATACCTTTATAATTAAAAATGGAAAGTGTACTTTTTGTATAAAGGAGGCTGTAGCCTAGGAATAGGGAAAGGGATTGCAAGTGTTGAGACTTTAACCCCAAACTTGCTGGATATCACCTCTTAAAAGTAGCAGCATGAACCAACTAGGCTAAGCCTTGGGTTCAAAGTAAGAGTACGTTTCATATAAACTAAAAGGGCTCCAAAAATCTTCTCTTAGATCTCATCCCATATATGGTGCACTGTATTATTAGTTAAATCCTAAATAAACAGACTCTTCATTTAACTAGAACATTTCAGACACCCCCAATCTATATTCCCGGATCCTCTACTCAGTAGAAAAACTCAGAAAAAAAATAGTATCCATGTTGGAAAATATCGTAGTCCATGTAAGGCAGATTAAATTAAAAGTTTTAGCAAATCAATTTGGATATAGACACATAAGATTTGTCATGAATTAAATTTAATAGTATTTGTTTGAAAAAAGGAAAAACCATTTAGGGCACATTCACACAAAGTGCACATATGGAAAAGCACGTTCAATAAGTTAGGACTTAGTAAAAAGACAATAATTGCATCATCTAACCCATCATAGGGGTGAGTATGGTTCAGATCAGTTTGATTAGAAGGCATTTGAAACCAAAAAATCTCAATTTTGCATTTCCAAACTGGATAAGGTATAAAAGCCAATCAAACCTAATATTTTAATTTGGTTTAGTTTCTAACTCAATTTGGACACATTTGATATTTGAGGTATAAAATCCCCAACATACAAGCACACGCATGTGTGCACACAAAAGGAACCACTGACCTGACAAATAGCCCATTCTGAAACATCAAAGATCTTGCTCTCAGCACAAACAAAAGCACGTGGAATTTCCACCTAAAAGATAAGAAAGCTAACAAACTGGTAAGTTTAATGAATGTTAAAACCTTTTAATCAGCATAGAATTGCAAGAAAGGGATAAAACATTCCATAATTTGACAAAGCTTGACAGCAGATGCTTAAGCGAACAACTAAATCACATATATAATCAAGCACAGTGCTTGAAAAGAGAGCAAATACAGCTATCAAAAGCTTACATCCTCAAAAGGGTATTTTAGCCTCATATACATCTTTGTATTCAGTTATTTTATAAAAAGCACTTATGAAGAAGGCACTGGAAAACAAATATCCTCCCGAATCAATCTTTAAATACCATCTCTTTTCTGTTTTTCCCCCACATGCCGTTATTAAGCAATTCTTATTAAATATTGTGAACACACTGCTCTTTTTTTCATATACAAGAATTAAAAAACAATATTTCATACACACCGCTTTCCACATTGTTGACAAAGTTTCAGATCTGTAAATGCATCAAGTTCTAAGGTTAAGAGCCACTCAAGAACTAGTAAGTCAATTTGCTTCCTTAAAAAGAATGAAAATATCATTTCTCAGGGGTCTTCCACTCATTAAGTAGCCATTTAACTAGAATGTGAGTTGCAAATATTAATATGGCTAAGATTAGATGGGTTTATTCATAATCAAGTGATAAAATAAGAGAGTTGTCATAACCTTGGTCTAAATAATCCTTTAGACTCATTATAACCATCTTTCTTATTCCAAAATAATAAAAAATGAGATTTAAAACTCAAATCTGATATTCTTGTTCCAGCTCCAATATTAATGTTAGCATCTGATAAGCCACTACTTTCTATTTTTAACTTCATACACCACATAAAGAATGCTATGGCTAAGAAAATTACCCATTTGATAATAAACACTGTTGATAGTGACAAAAAAATTCACAACTTGATGGTCCCACCAAAAAACAGTTGAAACAATCAATGTAGTAAATCAAACAGATCAATTTTTTTGCAACAAGGAACCTACCTTTTGAGGCCTATCAAACGCCAAGGAACCTTTGTACTCAACCCATCCATCTCCATCTTTAGCTTGGTGATATTGACAGCAATCCTGTGCAAGAACTAGTCTCAGAAATTATGAAATGCATTTAGCGCTAGTGAAGTTTGTACAAGTTTGTAGAAGTGTGTGTGTGTGTGTGTGTGTGTGTGTGTGTGTGTGTGTGTGTGTCTACTGTTCTCACATCCGCATGCAAGTGCTTGCATTTTTGTGCTTCCATGCAAGTATGTTTTTCTGTACAAGAAAACAATGATTGACCATATACTGTAAAAAGTGTTACTGAATCCTGCCTTGAAAGAAGCTCTAGGACAAGGTGCCATAAATCACCTTAGGGCACTACTTGGAAGAATTCCTCCTTACTCTATTTGTTTGCTTAGACATTTTGAATTTTCTTAAGTAGTTTTCAGCCATTATTAATTATTGTTTGACAAGTAGCTATTGCTTTTTTGAGCTGCAAGCATTAGGTTGACCGGTTTTCACATCATTTTTCTCTAATAATAGAATAATTGTTGACCCACCACGGACAGGCATCTTTTTCCTTTTATGCATCCACTCATGTAATCACATTTCAAGCCATCAACATGTTAAAACTTTGACCACCAAAAAAAGAGCAAATTAAAGTATAGAGTAATTAATATGTATGTTAAAGATATTACATGCACATTTTAATTTAAGTTCATAAAAATAGTGATTACAATTCAATTAAAAATGTCTTCTCAAAAGGCTTACGCCTCAATGTTTCATGGTTAAGCATTATTTCATACCAAGTATCAAATGCTTATCATTTTAAAACATTGGATTTGACAAACAGAAAGAAAAGATGTCTGACCTGACACCATCTAGCCTTGGCCTTGTTCCTATTCGTGCACACCCATATATGTGAATTACCACACTTAGTGCAGTGTATACGCCTTGATTCTTCAGAACGATGATCTGGACTAGCCTGCTGAAAGGAGAGAATGGTTAAGAGATATTAGTTTTACATTATCCACTCAACCTCAATGAACTGGTTCAAAATCACATGGATAAGCAAAAAATAAAAAAACAAGTTTTTGCATGCAGCCACTAACCATAAGAGTACAAATGACTGAAAATTTATTGCCAGAGGCAAATATAGCAGTCATGCTGGACAAGTCTTATCCTCATTAGCCAATTGTGAGATCAGGAAATCTCCACACCATACTCATAAACAGGTCATCATTCAAGAGGGCAAAGTACTTGTAGAAATATATTGACATTTTTTTTCCAATTTGCCTAAAAATCCAGAGCTTTCTACAACTAAAATAAATAAGAAACTCCTAGAGACAGTAAAACCAAGTCATAAGAACCATGAAGCTAGATTCCAAAATTCTAAGAAAGAGTTACATATTATCTCCCTTATACATAAGCACTTCTGGATTTCATTGCTCTTTAGTATAAATTCCATTGAAAAAAAGAACTGCAAGAAAACACACCAAAGAAAATAATGCCGGAAAAATGAAAAGGAGCAATAGAAATCAAAACTACCTGCCGTGAAGAGCTATGGGACTTTTGACACACACTCCTAGTCCTGGATTCTTGCTTTCTCAATTGCTCATCATAGTCTCTCTTTTTCATGGAATCAGAAAGGACCTAAAAATCCACATCAATGCAAGCTGTGTAAAGCGAAAGCCAACATTTTCTTGAATCATTGACACAGTTCAACTTTCATTTGAGATATACATAAAATAGGAACTCAAAATAAGAAATCATATGAAGACTAAATAACAATAACAATTAGAACACAGTTGCTCACCTCATAAGCACATTGAAGCTTCTTGAATGATTCACTTGCTAAAGGACTTCCCATATTTTTGTCAGGATGTACAAGCATGGCCTGTCAAAAATAGAATTAAGAGAAAATAAATTATCAAAATTAGTAGGTGTGCCAAAAAAATTGGAAAAAAAAAAGAAGCTAAATGAAAGATCCTTATGAAAAGGAAAATAAAACAAGGATATCTTTCCTCACATCCTAGATCATTTTCTCCCCTAAAATGTTAATCTTTGATTCCAAACCATCCATTTCCTTTACACAAATCCCCAAAAATTTTCCCTAATATTAACAATGAATGTAGGAAATAATTTATAAGAAACAAAGGCTAAAATAATAAAACATATCCTACTATCACTTGAACAGAAAAGGAGAAACGTTCCTCAGGTCTAGTTATGCTTTTACTGAAATAAGTATAGGTGACTAAGTTAGATATTTAGATACATCAAATGTAAGGCTTCTTTCAGGATAGCATTTACCTTCTTTCGATATTCCTTTTTCAGTATTCCAGTGTCAATTTTTATGTGACAAGGAAACCCCAATGCTTCGTAATGATCTGTGCTATTCAATATTCTTTTCATTTCATCAGCCGGACCGGCTTCTTCTTTGACCACCCTTTTAGCAGAAAACCCTTTTTGGTTTATAACTGATGTAGTAGCAGATTTACTGGATGACTTGCATGGATACACCTTCTCAGGTTCATCAGTGGGAATAGAGTATTCAAATTCTCCAGACAAATCATCTTCCATAACTGGTTTGGATTCTTTTTGCTCTTCAAAATGTGTGCTTTCACTCACATTATCAAAACATTGGAGCAAATAATTCAATACATCATTCGAGAAAAATGCAAGGTTTATTGATAGAAAAACACCAAGCCATCCAACTTGAACTTTGACAAAATAAACAGAGTATGTAGTTGCTATCAAGACTATCAACCGTGCATGACTTAAGGAGAACAAATAACCTGCGCAGAGAGATAACAACTTAAGAGATCTAAAAAAAACGTAAGTAGTTAAAAAAAGATGAAATGCAAATGCATTTAAGTCCATCAAAGAAGTTTCAGAGTAAAGAATCTTCCATCCGGAATGAGATATGATTCATACCCTGTTTACCATTGAGAACAATCAAGAATGCAACAATGATAACATAAAAGAAACATGCATAAGTGAATAAAGTAAAAACACATGCTAGCCTGGTTTTAGACGATGTATAGGACTTCTATGAAGTAACACTCTTTCACATACATTAAAGGATGGACATGGGCTTTGGTTGGTCACTCAGAATTATCAAATGGATACTGGATAGTCATGGAAATTCCTCAAAATATCTATCATGAACTTTCATATTCCCTAAGGTTAATTATTTCCGCTAGTGGATGAAGTAAATAATTCAAGACACGAGAAAAACTTGACAATATTAAAGATGGATTCAATCAATCTCCAAGTTTTACTGACTTCCGGCACTGGATTTGGGCAAGGCATTCAATAGGACGGTGCGCATGCCTAATAAAGCACTGGTATTAAGGGAACTTATTCCAGACAGATTGCATTCAAACTAAAGATTATGCTAACAACTTAATAAAAAATACAGAGCCTTTGTATTCGAAAGAGTAAATAACATTAAAAACAATATGAAATCAAATAATCCTATAGTTTTTACTTTTGTGGGCTTTTTACCCTTCAGCTCCTATACATATAAAATCCTAATAGGTCTGATAAAAATAATCCCACACTTAATTGTGTTTGAACTTGCTAGACATGCAAATTCTCACCATTCTTAAGCAAGGAGAACAAGAGAGCCTAAGATGGAAAACACAGCTTATAACATAATAAAACGTCTCAATCAGAGAATTATGACAAAAAGCCTTTCATCAGTTCTTGGTCTTGTGACCTTTGTCAAAATACAAACTTTCCCTTTCAGTTTCCATCGGCAGAGCCAACATGACCAGCTTTACTTCATAGACAACCAGATCAATTCAAAAAAACAACTTTTGAAATTATCAGTGCTTTCCTTTTATCTTCTTATAGCTACCTTGGTTTATTTTCCTTGCATGCACAAACACATGTATGTGGGTATGTATATTACAAACTGGAAAAAGAAAGCCATAATCCATTTTGACACAGCATAAGGTGGATAATTTTTTAAAAACAAACATTCTCATACTTAGTTAAGCAACTATTTCTCAAAAATATAATGTATGGCAAGATAGTGTCATGGGAGTCATCAACAAATTAGATATCTCATGTGTCATGATAGATATTAACATGAAATAAGTGAAAAGTAAGAACACTGACAAGAAAAATTCATTGTCAGAGGACAAGAAACAAGCCATACCTCCAACTATAAACAGTGTTCCAGTTATCCAAAAGTTAGCATACATCCACAATATCAAAATGCCGAAAATTCCTACAATAAAGAGTCCAGGAGTGTAACCTACGTACTGAACTGCAGCTCCAGCAGCTCCCTGAAAAGTGCAAGACTAGATGTTTAATTTCATTCTTAAATTACTAATTGCAAAATTATACATCGATAAGATTGACGTCACTCAGTAAAACTAACATACCCTTAAGTTCGTTTAAGAAAGTGAAAATCCACCATAACTCCCAGTAAAACCTAAACAACACTAAGTTTAGTTGAACTTAATAGAAAAATATCCACCAATAACACCTCTTAGCAACTTTTACTCCTCTAGTTTCTTGTCCACAGTCATCAGTAGAAAGGAAATGCCATCAGTGAGAATAACATAAACTTTAGGTTAGGAAAGAAGAAAATTTAACTTTTGATGTCACAATTGTGGAAGATGTAGTGCAGCTATGGTTCATTCAAGATTAAGTATTCAAAAAACTTCAGCAGCACTAGCACTCACATTGGTATGCAGACAGTTTTAGCACAGATAGTGCAGGACAAAAAACAAGGCCAACAATTCATTGACAACAGCCTAAGGATAATATTCAAGGATAGCTGAATCAATAAAATCACCAAGCAAAAGCATTTTGACATCTCTCACAAAAACTTCAGGATTTCGATTCATAGTGCAGCAATCAGCACAACCATAAGATTTCTAGAAATCAAACTTACCAGCCAAATCCAAGCATCTTTGCTCATAGTCTAACCTCTAACACATTAATTGAGAAACAATGTTAATAACTTCAATTTCATTTTTCACTATTCAACATCAAGCAATCAAGCCACGAAACTGTACCAACGAAAACCCACTTCTTTGTTCTTCTCAAAGAAAGTTCAAAGATATAAGAAGGTTGACAAACATAAAATGCAAGTAATCAATCATCTCAACTTTATTTTAGCTCATTCCAATCAAATTAACAAACCCATCCAACAAATCAAGGCCATATAAAATCCAATAACTTGGATCTTCAAAATGTAAAAACAAGCATGAGAAGTTTTAACAAGAACAAGAAACAAGACATACCATACTTAGAAGTACATAAAGCAAGCAAGACATGGAAGTCAAGCTGAGGAAACAACTCCACATTATCACAAGCAACGAAGCTGAACCCAATCTGATACATGACTGAAACCCTCTCATCAGACAATCTTTCCAATAAACCAAAAGCAACTTTGAAAAGTTCCAGAATTTAACACATCCACTACAAATCATAGGCCAATGCCTCTCCACTAACAACCCCATTTTATCTCTACAACAACCAACAGCTGTTATCGCCTTGGAATAAACATGTTTCTGAGATTGTATCCATTTCCAACCTTGCTTAAACAGCCCTATATCTTCCATCACCCTTTTAGCCTAGTGATCCACCCCAAAAGAAGATCAAATTTTTGCTAAGAAAATTGAGAGAGAAAAGTACCCCTTTCAGGAATTGAAGTTTGGAGGAAGCAAAACGCACCCATTAGTTAATTTATCAGAAAAAATTAATACCCATTTGCTTATTTATGAAAAATAAAAAATACCCATTTGAGGAATTGCAGTTAAAAGAGTAAACTCGATCACGCTGGGTTCGTTCAACGCTAAAATTATGCTTCACATGTAAGCTTCCAAAAAAAGTTCGTTTTTAAAAAAAAAAAAGTCAAAAGATTGAAGCAAATTATGCCCTTTTTTGACTCTGAAAATCTGAAACTAAATCCAAAGACTAAGATCAAAGTAAAGCAGGTGACAAGGTCAGTTGAGTTGGGTGGGGTGCATAAAAGCTAAATTAAATTAAAACAAGGATAAATTTTGGGCTTTTTTTTAATGGCAAGACAAAACCCCAATAATATAACTAGATTTCCTTTCTTATGTTTTTAACTTATTTGGTTTGTTTTCTCAGGGAGTACCTGTGAAAAAGAGGCCGAGTTGAAAAGAGTTTGAAAAAGTTACTCTAAAGATACAGAGAGAGGAGATAGTGAGCGGAAGTTGTAAAGGAGATAGACATCAGACAAAAACAAGTTTCTATTGGAGATGCTTTTTTTTTTTTTTTGCTTACAGAAAAATTACACTAGTAAAATAATTATAATTCAAAAATGATTAGTTTTGTTCTATTATTTAATTTAATGACAAATATTTTTATTTTAAGCCATTCTTCAAAATAAATATATATAATAGTTTTTAATATTTTTGGTACATTTTCAAAGTATATTTATGATTTTGTGGAATGTTAGAAATAAGTAGAGGAGAGCTTTAGTCATGTAAGATGATGTCCACAGGGATTTAGGACCCACTTGCTTTAAAGGGTCTCTGCCAACATTGCTAACATCATCAATAACAAGCCTGAAATGCTTTAGCACATCATGCCTATGTTTCATCATGGAAATGCATGTATCTTTTTCAAGATAATCTTCATTCTTCGGAAGGTATTCTAAAACCTCACTCCCTTGGAACCAATGATTCCATCAATTTCAGCTTCAATTAAAAGTCTTTTTTTTTTTTTAAGAATTGCTTAGTTTTTAACTTACATAATAACAAAAAGATTGAGAAACTTATCACAGAATGTAGTATCAGATAATTTGGACTTGACATTTGCTTGATCCCCCTTGGTAACTTAAACAGTTCTGTGGTAATCTTCAACTCTTCTGTTTCCCAGGCTCTTACCTTCCAAAGTAAACGTATCAGCTTCTTCCCAAGAACTCTAGCACTCTTAGGAAGGTACTTAATCATTCCATCTCATCTTCCTCCCCTCTAAACGAACACATCTCAATTTCTGAGTTGAGACAACAGACAATTTGGTACTTTTTCTAGGTAGATTCTTGAATAGATTTCTGAGATTCACTAGCTGAACCCAAAACAGAAAGAAATATTTGCAACTTCATCAGAGTTTAGTTGAATTTACTTGTCAAAAATAGTTAGCTGAAACTGTTGTTATGTATCAATCAATCATACCTCATGGAGCACCAGGGTTTGTAGATTAGGTGGTTTTCAAGTATGTCTGCAATACCTATCCACCCTACACACTAGTTGCGGGCAAAAACAATCTCCAGATGGATCAACTTATCAAACAAAGCCACCGGCTTGTAAGAAAACAGCTGAAATTAAGATGAAAATTTTATCTATATCACAATCGTCACTTAATAAAACAGCTTCAAATTGAGACTATCAGGATTTGAACGCTGGTCACGGAAACTAAAAATCTGGTACTTTACCATCGGGCCATGCGGCTGTTGGCAAATTTTAATGGCATCAGTAAAATTGGTTCAATGTTACTAACTTCCAGATCTTCATTGGATAAGGTAAGGCATTGAACACAAACAATACTTCTTAAAAATCTTATTGCAGATTACTGTTGATCACTCCAGTAAGTTCCGTCTTGATGTAGATAAAAGTAAATATCGGCTTCGACCAGAGAATGTAGGTTCAGCAATGAATAGTAGTCTGCTATATAGTCCAAGCATTGGAAGTAGAAAAGACTTGGAGCATCGATCTCCATCCCAAAAGATTGTCTTGGTTCATGCCGTCCGCTCAAACAAGTTATAGTCAATCTTTTGAGAGTATAATTAAGAATACTTAACTTGCTTATATTTCTGCAATTGCAGCTGTGTAGAAGCAAAGATTCAAGCACAAGACAGCCTGAGAAGAGCCTTTGTACTGAATCGTCTTCAGACTTGGAAAACAAACATTAGAAGGAACATTCAAAACAAGACATGAATCCAGTTTCAGTACCACCAGCATCTTACATGTAAAAAGACCGACAGGCAACGAAATGAACTCGTCATTACTGGAGATGCATAAATCAAGTTCTTCTAAGTTGTGCCACAATGCAGCAGATATCCAACCATACACGAGAAGAGTCGACACCATGACTGCATCTGAGTCGAAATCTTTCAATTCTTGTCACCTTATGGAAGAACAGCACCCTATCGACAAAGTTCATGAAGCTGTTAACCCTCCTGTCATCCTCTGAAAATAGATATCTCCATCTGGTTGATAAAATGGAAGTTCGAACTGCTTCTTCAGTGGGAAGAAATGATAATATGCGACAGAGAACAACATATGGTAAATCACTAATCCAACATTTATCATACTTTGATTTCACTTGCTTAGCCATAAGGCATTAAAAAGTAGGCTACAGGATTTTACAAAGGATAGTGACCATTTTTCGAAGAAAGAAAGGGTTTTAGCTTTGGAAAACTGAGCTCTTTTTTGGTGGTTGAATTGCTTGGTTTTTCTGACATTAAATGTCAGCTCTTGAATATAAGCAATTAACCAAGTGCTCCTAGAGCAAAGTGTTCCTTTATTGGCTAGGGCACAGCTTTCAAAATCTCCTATTGTTTATTGCAAATGCAGACTCTTCAAATTCCTCTGCTTTGAGAATTGAAAAGTTTTTTTTCTGTTTCCATTTCAGCACCAATAAAAGTTTTTGCAGTGTGCTAAATAAATAAAAAATGGTTGATGGCTATATTAAAAGTGGAGAATTTCAACCATCAAGTATTTCTACAGTTACAAATATAAAACCATGAGATGTTATCTACAAATATATGATATATCAACAGCGTCAACGTTGCATCATGTTAGTGTGCATGCCTGCATGTGACAGGGACTGCAGAAGAACCAAGGATCGGGAATGGGGGCAAAAAGGAACGATGATCATTGATCAACTCTGCAAAGATTTCTTTAAATTTACCAAACCTGGTACATTTACAAGAGCGTACTTACGACTATTCGACGAAGTACAAAAAAGAACACTTGTACGTTACAAAACAACAAGCTTCAAAACCCAAAAATAGAATAGAATGAATAAAATTTGACAAATTCGTTTGCTTCAATGTTTAACACTGCGGTCATTGATCAGAGCATTGAAGGTCATAGTTGCAAAAGTTGAGGTTCCTGATGACAGGGTTGAATTGTCTAGGTTGTCTGAGCTAGAGGAAGCAATATACGAATATGTATACTTGGTTTCTGGCTTGGTTTTCTCAGAACTTCGCACTTTGAGGTCCATAAAATCAGAAATCAAACCCGGCTTTGTTATATTCTTCTCAGCAACATTCTTCTGGCCAGTTAGCATCTTGACCACGATGACATAGACGGCCGGAGTTTAGGAGTATCTTGGGTGCAAAGAAGACCGACCTTGAGGAACCTACAAGCCTCTTCTGCATCAAAATCACCATTCAACGATGTGTCAACCAACCCAACCAACTCCCTTCGCTCGTAAAGGTCCCATGTCTGCAACAAGAGATCAGTATATGTCATGAACCGCAAACCTTTCCGATATGTAATTTGCAGAATTTCAAAACAAGTTTTCTGACATTGAGGAGATTGACACTATCTTTCATTCATCATGGACAAGACTATAAATTGATTTTCTATATTCCAAATATTATAAACAGGCAAGATATCGACGATCTTATCCAAAATAAGGAAATAACATGCTTTAACAAGAAACTTAATGCCGATGCCCAATATTCCAAAGAAATCATCTCAGTGGTTTAATTCTTTGATCTTCTATTCACAAACATCACTTATTTCAATTCCAAGGCTGAAATAATTTCTGAAACTAAGCTCCAGCCATGTAAAAACAAGACAAGATTTAATAGAGGAGAAATCACAAATTTACTAGGATGCAGCTAAATGCAAAATTATAATATGTAACAACTAATAGTTTTTCAAGGATTTTTTTTTTAATCAAAAGATTAAGGAGTTAGATGAAATTAATAATATTTTAAGGAGTTAGAACATCTTTATCCTTGCTCATTTCATAAGTGCTTGATGATCTCTGAGCATAAACTGAAAGGAAGTGCCATAACCAGTAACTCACAGGTCAAGCTCCATTATTAAATAATTGCAGTAAACAAAATTTGCAACATAATGGAAAAGACTCAAATGCATACCCGTTCTAGGATGTATTGTTCTCCTACAGGTAACTGTGTATTTGTGTTACATCTGCCACTGACTATTTCTATGAGGAGAACGCCAAAACCGTAAATATCTGCTTTTCGTGTCAACTGCCCCCTTATTGCATACTCTGGTGCTAGATAACCTCTAAAATAGTGAATGAAATAATTAATGACAGTTAATATTTTTTGAAAGCATAAAAGTTTGAGGGAGAGAGAGGCAAAATTTTGATTGATTAGCAACTATGCACAAAAATTCAATCCTATAGTATGACAGATGCTTAACTTAATAAATCTAACAACAGCTAGCCACAAAGATCATACACTTGCTAACATGACAAGAACAGCTTACTTGAAAATAGAACCTAATTTAAAGAGAGAACCGACTTCAATTGGATTTTGTTGAAGTCATATCACCATACCTAAAAGAAGCCTTAATTAACATAATCAATAAAGACCTCTTGTACTACATATCATCATAACTTTAACTAAATGATTATCGAAACAAGAGGATCTCTCCGGCCAAAAAAAAATGAGGATTTCTTGTTGCTCTTGCTGTTCCACTATTCTTCACCTCCATTTTTTGGGATGTCTGAAATGATTGCCCAACTAGAAAAGCCAAAACATATTAGACACTAGTTGTCCAAAGTTGCCTCACTTTTTCCTTTCTCCATCCGCAAAGGATAGTTTCAGAAACCTAAAACCTTTCAAGATGAAATTGAATAATCAAATGATGTTTGTATATTCTTATTGCCATGGAGAAAATATTATCCATTAGTTACTAAACTCAGAATAATGAACCCACTCTATAATGATAAAGCAGAAATTCCAACAGCAAAAAAAACTGATAAATTTTGTTTAAGTATGCTTTTAACACCAATACTTCACCGACTTGGATGATAATATCATATTCAGTGCTAATTGAAAACTAAAAATATATTTGAAGCTATTGTTAAACTTGAACAAGTAACAGGAAGATTGGAGCCTTACATTGTTCCAGCCACACGAGTGCTGACGTGAGTCATGTTTGCTGGGATGAGCTTTGCCAGGCCAAAATCTGATATTTTGGGTGTTAGGTCTTTGTCAAGAAGAATATTGCTTGCTTTGATATCTCTGTGAACAATGTACGGCCGTACTTCCTCATGAAGAAAAGCAAGCCCACGTGCAATCCCAATGCATATTTTAGACCGTGTTTTCCAATTAAACTGGATATTACTTCGACCACTACCTGTAAAAGAAAAGGTTTTAATTGCTCTCAGCTTCAATGTGATTTAAACTGTATTAGGCAAGCACAGTTTGAATACACTTCTTCTATGGTTAAGATTTTAAATAATGCAGGATTCCTTAAAAAAGAAAAAGAAGAAAAAAAAGTACTCCTACTATCCCAAATAGCTGTCCTCTTTGAAAATATTCAAGGATCAAAAGGAAGCACATTAAATACAGTCGGACTAAACAGAATTGACAAAATAATCAAATTTTGCCTTTCATAAAAGGGATACCTTATGTTTTTCATTTTTCCTCTGTAAGTAGTTCATGTAATGAAAGGCATAGTTGGATGAAGGATGTTTGATAATATTTAGTACTTAAATTTTAGTTTTGCACAACTTTTTTGGGACATCTTGATTAAAGTGGGAACAGTCATGTCATCAAAATGCAGAGTAAAATATAATGCAAAATATATAGTTCTAGGATGGAACTACCACTCTGTGGTATGAAGAATGGCCTCAATAAACAATAAACTGAACTTCCAACATTACAACAAATTAACAAATTACCAAGAAGAGTCTGGGCAAGGCTATTATTCTCAAGGTAGTTGTAGACCAAGATTCTGTGATTATCTTCAACACAACAGCCATAGAGCCTGACTAAATTTTCATGCTCTATTTCTGAGATCACCTTAATCTCTGTCACAAATTCTCTCACTCCCTGTCTTGATTCAGCTGAAAGAACTTTTATAGCAGCAATCTTCCCATCTTTAAGCCTCCCCTGGAAATCCACAATGATAATGAAGGAGGTTCCTTTCGCAAAATGACATAAAGAAGACAATGGATCAAGTAAGCAATGCTCTATATATTGAAACAGCATACATACCTTATAGACAGAACCAAAGCCTCCTTCTCCAATTTTATTTGCAGGGCTAAAATCTTCAGTAGCAATTCTTAATTCTTTGTATGTGTAAAATTTTACATTGTGAATGTCAAATTCTGTTCATAAAAGAAGAAAAAAGTAGATTAGAAGTTTTCCTATTGATGTAGTTTTAGGCAGAATAATACATTTGGTTTAATCAAAAACTGAAACTAAGGAAAGTAGTCACAAGAATCAAAGAGGTTTTTCTAACACAAGTTGAAATAAACGAGAACATAGAAATATAGAACATACCAAGGGCAAGGTAGGAAGAGTAGATATTGAAGGTCAAGAAATTTCTACAAGTTAGCATTATGGTGCATAGGTTCTATCATACACAATGAAACAGAGATCGGAGAAGATTTATTGACAGGATTAAAACAGCAGGAGGCATTGAAGGATCGAAACTGGAATATTCAGTGATTTTAGAAGCGTCCTAGATTCATGTTGCTGAAGAAACAATATTCGCAACATGATTGTTGCTGAAACAACAATGTTTAAATAAAAAATAATACTAATGTTTAAGTTGATATTAGAAAGGATAATTTTTTTTCTTTTAAATTAAAAAAAAAAAAAGAGATGAAATCACTTGTAAAAGGAGCAAATAAAAACAGGACAAACCTATGTAAAATATTTGCACATGTACTACAAAGATCTAGTGATGTAACAGTTTAGACAAAGTTATTTAACATGAAGACAGTAGAGGTAGAGCAAATCACATTGATTGATGTACATATAATGGAGGAAATTATTTCGTGCAATGGACTTCAATGATAAGGCTTAGTAGTATTGGATATGAAGGATTAGCCATCCTTCATTTAATTGGACATGACAGTATAAAAGGTTTTCTAATTATAAGAAGAAGGCTTCTGACTTACCTTCATCAACCTCAAAAGACCATTTGTTTGATGAATCAATATGTCTACGGAATAAGAAAGAAAAACAAGTCATATGTTTATGATGCACCATTGACCAGTTTTCTTTTATATTCAACCAGTGCTTTGTACCAGGGCAGTTCTAAGACCTGCCAAAAAAACCATCGGAAACACTTAATTTCATACTCATAATTCTATGGAATGAAATATCAAAATCATTAAGGAAGGCATTGATGCAGTCATCCATGCTCAATTAGAACTAATCCACCAAATTTCATGGTAGCTAAGCACATTCACAAACCTGTAGATGTTCATCATTTAGGTTAATTTAGAA